TACTGGCGGAAGCAGTGATAACGAGTCTAATCTCATCATCTGGTGGTCTCTGTCTCTCATTTACATTGTGTGTGATTACTACAATACCAGTAACTTACATTCATGTCAAGCTAGAAATAAATTTAGTTTGTATTCATCTTCTCCTTGCATTTAAGTTTTAGATTCCCATATGTTCAAAATCAAAACTATGTAATTAAACTGATTGATTCTTTTCCTCTTGTATCAGATATTGTCCAAGACTGCCAACAACGCAGTGATGGAAACTGTTGATCCTGAGATTACAGCCCTATGTAAGGATCTTGGAGCAGTAAAGAAGGTTTTTCAGCTTGCCCTTCTTTGCGCCAAAAGACAGCCATCAGATCGGCCAACTATGCACGAAGTAACACGAGTCCTTGGCAGCCTCACACCATCAACTTCACCTCCAAAGCTGCAGCCAATTACCTCGACTCAACGCGCATCAATCTTAACTGGTAATAAGATGCCTTGCTATGTGGATGAGTATGCAAATCTAAAGACTCCACACCTGGTAAATGTTCCCTCCATGAGCACTTCAGATGCTCAGCTCTTTTTGAAATTTGGGGAGGTAATATCTCAAAATAGTGAAGTGAAGTGATAAAAATTATCCATTAAAACACAAAGCAAAAACCAGAGAAATAGAGAGAGAGAATCAAGGGATGGTGTACAAATTAAGATTCTATATCAATTATTGTAGCTTAGAGAGAGATAAAATTTTAAAAAGTAAGAAAAAAGAAGATTGGACTAGCTTTTGTTAGACAGCTTTGAAATGTAGCCGAGGCAGAGCTGAAGCAGTGCAGAAAATCATGAATGAATATATATGTATGTATGTAATCTATATATGTTATGAAAGTCAGGATGGTATTTACTGGCATAGTTTGTGGGGACCAGAGAGGTGTCTGGCCAAGTGGGGCTAACTGAGCTGCATTATGTGTGTGATCAGCAATAATGCTCTGAGGAACCCTTGTCTCCATGTTGAAAGTTCCAAGTAGATTGCCTGCTGTCCTTTAATTTCAACTTTCAAGTCCAAATATTTTCTCTTTTCCTTTTTAAAATTTTGAAGATTCTGCACGGTTTTAAGACTACTACAGGTTTTAAAATTTAAATTTTGATACTTTTTTTGGTTGTATAAATTTTAAATATAGATTTGATGTTTTTCGCTTAGTGGGTATTGTAAAGTTGTGTTTGATTCACATTTTTCTAGCTCAGTAGGCTCGTTCCCTATAAATTTTAAGTTGGTGAAATATGGTTCTTTCAATTCATTAGCTTTTGAGTAAAATGGAAGACTACAGGCTGAACTACCACTGGATCTCAAAATCTCAACAATCACATCCTTCTAATTACATATGTTTCTTCATTAGTTAATTACTGATATATAAAGTATTTATAAAGCAGAATGGAATTCCTAATTGAAACTTTTAAAAGAGAGTTGCAGTTCTTAATTTAAACAAGAACAATGTAAAAGAGCCATCATGATAGTTCTAGTTCTTGTCTCCAAAGGTCCCATGTGCCAAGTTTACAGCTCCTGGCCTGTTTCAATCAAAAAATCAAATGATCAACTTTCATATATTCAGAATATTTTACAGTGAAAACAACCAAAGTAAACACTAATTATAAAATTAAGAGGAAAAAAATAAAGGCCAGCAACAGGGTTACATGCAAGGCTCACCCGGAGCTGGCATTGATTACTCGTTCCATTTGATACTTCCCCAGGAGTCGGTTCTTAAAAGATCACAAAATTCATTGTCATCACATGGTATTCTTTTTTTTATATTTTATGTAAACAATTACAAGCAAATTATATATATATATACCTTCTTCTTTTGTATCCTCTCAAGAGATGTAATCAGGTGTTCCTTCATGCTTTTGATTTGGTTCAAATCCTGAACGTTTCTTGGATTTTTAAAATCCCTGAATAAACAAGAAAATGAATATTAAAAAATAAATAAATAAATTTTTTACTTTTACTAAATAAATTTAAATTATTTCATACTCCAGTGCTTTTCTCCTCTCGTCAAGCCTGTTCTTCATCTCCTCCAACTGAGCCTCCTGCACCTGTAAAATAAATTAAACGACCGGTTGTTATTTATATATTACCAAGGCAAAGAAGTTTTCAGATATCTTTTTTCAAACTCCAAGGCCCATGCCTACCTTGACAGTATCATCCCTGAAATTCAAAAACAAAAAACAGTTTAGGTTTTAGGAACATATATAAAATATATTGCTGCTGAGATGAAAATTATGGGAAAGAATAAGGCTATATACCCGTCTGCAGAGAAACTTCTTACATCCACCTCAGCTTCCACATTTTTCTGGAAAATCTTTTTCAGCAACTTTCAAAAAGAAGAGAAAAAAAAAAAAGAAAAAAGAAAATTGTATGAAACATATAAAAACCTAATCAACATTTCTCTGCTACACATATTAATATAAATTAAAAATTATATTTATTATTAATATAAATTAGAAAAAAATAATTTAATTTTTTAATTCAATTATTTTAATGTATAAAACGTCACACACACACACACACACGTAGTTTTCGTATTATTTTGTGCCGTCTTATAAAATTTATAGATATTGTAATTAAGCAAGCAAACAAAAAAAAAAAAAGGCAAGCAAGAAAGAACCATTCAATAATAGCAGGCTTTTACCTTATTAGTAGACTCCCTCCTAAATACACAGAACAAAAAATATATAGAGAGAATTAGTGTATAAATATATGTAAAAAGAAATATTTTTTAACCCAAAAAAAAAAAAAAAAAAAGAAATTGTTTCCATGGGTAGCAGCACCTTTCTTCAAGATCACGGGCACTTGTTTTCTCCATCTTCTCCACAAAGTAGCCGAGATCCCTGTAATGTACATATTGATAGATATATATATATATATATATATATATATATAAAAGATTAGAGAAAATGATGAATGAAAAAATAAATAAAAATTACAAAGAAAATAAGAAGATTACTTGTCATGAGCAAAATAAGTGACGGGTTTGTCAGATGGAGAGAACATGACGAGAGCTAAATCAATATCGCAGATAACAGAAAACTCCTTTGCCTTGTTCAGAATTCCTTTTTTCCTCTTTGAGAATTTTGCATGTCTTTCCTTCAGTGTTTCCAACCTCTTTATCACTAATTTCCTCTTCCCCATCCTTCCCTCTTCTTTTTTTGTTTCCTCAATGCTTCTAACCTTTTATTTTATAAGCATAAACTTACCATTAGAATTGCATATTCTTGTGAATTATTTTTTTAATAAACAAAAAAAAAAATATTATTTGTCTTCTTAGTTTTATTTTTTATTTATTTTTACAAAATTTAACGTAAAATAATTCGTATAATATTAAGAATTTTGAATTTAAATCGAAAAATTCGCCGTACCATATAAATTATTATTATTATTTTTTTAAATATTAAAGTTTTAATTATTAAAAACATTATTTTAATATCCTATTCTTTAAATTTATCAGAAAAATGAAAATTTGAAAGAATCTCAAATGATTCAATATTGAGAGAGAGAAATCAGCCTTTGTAGAATTGAAATCTAAAGTTGGCAGTTGAATCATATTTGGCTTTAATTAATTGTTTTATCTTCTAATAAGTTTATAGAAATAAAATCTTATTTTAAATAGAAGAAAATATAATTTGAAAAAAAAAATCATAAATTTAATAAATGAAAGCAAATCCATTCTACAATGAGAATCTTTCCAACAAATTCGGTTTTAAATGCTTTGGATGGGAGGGTGAAATCCCATCAATTTATTTTTTCTTTCTGCAAACACCTTTTTTTCTTCTATTGACATGTGGCAAACCGAGATGGACACATTAATAAATAGTTGTTATTCTTGGAAAAATAATGTTGCGTCGACATTTGTGGTTTTGGCAAGTAGTTTAGCATAAACTTGATTATTGTAGATTTGTCAACATAAAAGAGAAGAAGAAGTCTTTCGTTTTCCATCATGCCAATTTCAATTTAACAAAGCTAAAGCATGTGTACTTTGAACTTTTTGTAGCAACGTCTTATCAGCTCCTATTCTTTCCTTTTTATATTCTTACTTTAAAAGTACTGAACATTTTTTTTGTGTCTTTAATTTTTGTCCTAATATTTTTACCAACACATTGCATTGTGTTATGTTTATTGACAACAAGTAATAAGATTATTGTAGTGTTATGTTTATTACTTTCTTAGATAAGCCAAGATCATGCATGATTTGCTTCAAGAATCCCTATTCCCTGTGTCAAATGCTTTTTTCATATTGCATTTCATGGCAACCCAACCCCTCTTACCTTTTTTTTTTTTTCCTTCCCGTATAGTGGATTAGTTCATGAGTTATGGTCGTATTATCTTTAGTGCATGTTCCTTTAAATAAATGTTGCTCACACCAAGGGTTTGAGCCTACTTGCGATAATTTTTGAAATTATTTATAAATTACATTGCATAACCGTACGGGTTGAAATATTTGGTATAGTTTGAATGTTCACATTTAGACACTAATATAATATTTGTTTTGTTAACTTACTTTAAATGAAACCAAATTTTGAAAGATCGTTGAGAATTATTATAACTTATTTCTTTGATTGTACTCCAATACGAGTGATAGAAAATAATTAGAATTCCATTAAGTCTTAGGGTCTTATGTGCCCAAATGGATATATGCATATAAAAGATTTCTTTCTCTATTGGTTTGTGAATCGACTTCTTATTATCTTATTATTCTAAATTGTGTTGAAAAAAATGGTATAGGTCTTTTGGAATCCAGACCGCTCACTCGCAAAGATCCTAACATATATTCTTTATAATTGTTTTGCAATATCTTATGAGTTTGTATGCATTTTCCCATCTTCATATTTAATCAAATGAATAATATTTTTTGTTTTGTT